TGGTGGCCCATTTTGACGAATTCCAGGGGCTATTGCGCTCTGTCAGTACATCTCTACTCGGACATCTGTGTGATTTCGCAACTTGGTTCTGTATATCGTCACGCTCGTATGCCGCGCAATTATTATTATTATGGTTATTATTGCTACTGTTACTTATTATTATCGTTATTATTATTATTATTATTATTATTATTATTATTATTATTATTATTATTATTATTTTGTGTCGTTATTCTGATTGTTATCACTAAGCATCATACAGGGCCAGAAAAGGGGAGTATGGGGCATTGGAGAGGAGGGAGACACTATCATGGTGCCCACCTCCTCCATCCTCCTCCATACTTGTCTTTGTATGGTCCTCTCAAATGCATGTCTCCTCGACTGATTGATTAGGGCTTGATCCCCGTTGAGTTAACCCTGACCTCAGCTAACCTTAAGAGTCAGCAATCGATTGCATGAGTTGTATATGACCAGTGACAGAGCGATTGCGGGAGCTCTGCCGGAGTTCAGGTGGAACTCTGGAGGCAGGGAACAACGAGGTATGGGTACTTCAACATAAACCCTAAACCCTAAAACCCTAGATCTGTAACTTTAGGCTGCTACCTATGACTATGTTAGTAACAAGGGTACAACGATCTTGCTATGTGGGGATTCTTTGGGGATGTGGATGCAAAGGGGATCGACTTCTCATAATCATTTTCTCTATACGTCGCCTCATGATGATGGGTATTCATTGGTTTAGCTTGTTGTGATTGAATGCAACGATGATGATCCATGTCAATTATTTTTTGTCATACGCCTGATCCAAGCATAAGTTCTCAAACTAACAACGATTTAGGGGTCGAATGCCGTCAAAAGCGATGACTTGAGTCATAGGTAAGACTTGTGTGGAGGTAAGAATAGCAGGGAAAGCCTACCTTAACTCCAAATGAGCCTTACGCTTGGTCAATGGTAAGTGCAGGGACCCTTGGACACCCGCCTTATTGAGGGATAGCCACTGATACGAGTAGCAGGAGAATCCTGTCTTATCAGTGACTAGTCTGATATAAGAGTTGTGAGGTTTCAAGGACACCTGCCTTATCATTAACCAACTTAACATTCTTTTCAGTGGTAAGAGTAAGCAAGGACCCTTGGACACCTGCCTTATTGAGGGCTAGCCACTGATAAGAGTAACAGGGAATCCTGTCTTATCAGTGACTAGTCTGATATAAGAGTTGGGAGGTTTCAAGGACACCTGCCTTATCACTGATTAAACCTAACATTCTTTTCAATGGTAAGAGTAAGCAAGGATCCTTGGGCACCCGCCTTATTGAGGGCTAGCCACTGATAAGAGTAGCAGGGGAATCCTGTCTTATCAGCGACTAGTCTGACATAAGAGTTGAGAGGTTTCAAGGACACCTGCCTTATCATTGATCAAACCTAACATTCATTCAGTGGTAAGAGTAGTAAGGATCCTTGGACACCCTCCTTATTGAGGGTTAGTCAGTGATAAGAGTAGCAGGGGAATCTTGTCTTATCAGTGACTAATCCAATATAAAAAGTAGCGAGGTTTCAAGGACACCTGCCTTATCAGTGGCTAGCCATAGGATAAGCCTACCGCTAAATGTGCTTGGCACACAGTGGCCAAGACCCACAAGTTTGCCCTTGTCAAACAAAGTTCCAGTAACAGATGGATATGTCCTAAATGGTCTGCCATACCGCCACTAACTTTCTCCACAATCTGCATTGTTCAGTACTAACTAACTATCTCTGATTCTACTGAAAGGGGATAAGCGAGACCTTGCCTCAGAGAAAGACTATCCATTCATATGATTCCTTTCCATGAGATTTTTTCCACAAGTTGGATTGATGATGTGATCATGTGTGTTGGGAGAAGGAAAGGAACCTCAGATAGGATAATCCCCAAAGGGATAAGAATGAGATAGTGAAAAAGAGTATGAAGAATGGTCGTGACAATAAAAGGGGAGTGAATTATTATTCACTACCTAAAGCGGAATGGGCAACAACCCAAACACTTAGTTAAGAATAGTAGGAGTAGGACAGGGAACACAGAGTCTAGAAGGAACTTTCTAGATCTCAGTTAGGAAGAGAGATGTTAAGATTCTCTTGGACTGTGTTGTGTCTACAGGTTTCGACACTTCGGAGAACTTACGGGGAATCCGTAAGAGCAGCAATTCTGTTATCATTTGATAACAGGTCGGTAGAACTCCGACTCAACTTCCACCAATGGCTTGACACCCACACCTAAGACAGGACCTAAGAAGGGAACAGATAAATCTTCCCCCTGTATCTATGCCTAAATTGTCCAAATCACACTCAGGAGTCTTCAAAATGTGTGGGGCTGGGGTAAAATGGAGTCAGGGTTGGGAAGGAATGTTGTTCTCAAGGGTTTGAGGCGTGAGTGGCTTGCTGTGAGTGGGTTAAAGGTTGATACTCGTAGCGCATTCTGTTTCTGCATTTGTATGTGTGTATGTAATTTTTTTTTCTTGCATTTGCACAGGTGTTGGACATTTGTTCTGTGTCCTGAGTTTGGGATCTTCTGCAAATTCGGGCAAAAGGGACATGACAATCGTGAAAGTGAGGTCCACTGCTCAGTCAGCTCCCCTGATTTACATACATATATCTATATATACTTGTAAATGAGATCGTAGGCTGGTCGGTACCTAGAAAGTCAATTGTATGGGGCTTCTTTTGAGAAGAATGAGAGATTACTAAGGGTTTGACTCTGACATTTTTTTTATAAGGTCAACAAAGAAAACATAGAATCACTGTCTTAAGTTAGCTAAGCGTGGAAGACTGTCCAAGAAGTCGACCTGATTAGATAGTCGGTCCGGAGAGTTAGCATCTCGGGGCTCGACATACGGGTCAGTCTTAAGGCGTTCTACCGCACGTATGCCTATGCTACGGCGATCGAGAAAATACCCTCGGCTGACCTACCTCTGCGATTGCATGTAAAAGCCTTCGCACGTGGGTCAGTAGCTCAGCAGGGATACGCCCACCTAAGGGATGGTGACAGCTCCCGCAGGTGGAAGTAATGTTGTACCTCGCGGGTTCCCTAACCTGTCGTAGGGAGTCGCGAGAGGTATAGCACGCGCGCACGGTCGGAGTTGGTATTTCGTGAAGTAACCAAGAGAGACTCTTGCGTGACACGACCGTGAGGTTCAACACCAAAAACTTTACTTTACGTCTGGGTGTGGGACCGCCACGCGCGACATCTGACTAAGACTTAACTTGGGTACGGCGAATCGCTCGCCAACCCGTGAGTACTCGTATTTTCCTTCCGCAGGGGAAGGACGAGCATACCCCGTCTCAAAAGGGGTCTTGCTTTTTAGATTATTAGTCGGACATTGGTCCTGAGCCTGGAATTCGAGGTCCTTGTCCAGAACATCCCAGGCTCTGGTCCGGCACAACAAGGTTTCCCCCTTGAGCCGGACCTGCGCCCCTTGCTTATCGTCACCCACTGCCTAAAAAACAGGGGTGCCACAAGGGCCGAACGACTTATCCTTCAGCCGTGCAATATCGTGAAGGAGAAACCCTTCACGATATTTCGCTTTCGACACTTGAGTGTCGTACGCAACCCCGAAACCCATGGGAGGTTGCACGGATGTGGGTACCGCATGAAGCGTCACCGTGATAGCAGATTGAGTGAGAACACATGACTGAACATTATGGTTCCCATGACAGTGACATTTTTTTTATGCAACTCTGCGCGGACCTCGCTCAGACACATTGGCAGTTCTGAGTTATGGGTCAGGACGTATGAAAAAGGGACTAGGCTAATTTGCTTGTATGAGTTACTTTGTTTTGTCGTGTAGCGCATGGTTGAGTTAGGATGTCCTAGTCGACCGACGCTGAATCACACGTGGGAGATCAGCGCCCCAACGTGACGGTTAGCGTACGGGTCCGAGCTAGGCGTGGACCGCACGTACCCCCTATGCTACAGCATACGAGAAACGCCCTCGGCTGGGCCACCTCTGCGATTGCAAGTAAAAACTTTCGCGTGTGGTTCCGTAGCTCGGTGGGGATACGCCCACCCAAGGGATGGTGACAGCTCCCGCAGGTGGAGGTAAGTTGTACCCCGCGAGACCCTGTCCTGTCGTAGGGAGTCGATGGAGGTATAGCTGGCGCACTCGGCTGGAGCGGCTCCGCCGCTTCCCTTTTCGTGAAGCGACTTGCGAATACTGCCAATCCTACCTGACGCGGCCGAGAAGGTTCCCCCAGCGGGGACCGTGCGCAGATAGGTGGCGCCGTTGTCGGGGATCTCGGTTACCTACCGAGGTCCATAGTGAACGAACTTGGGTTTAGTACAGAACGATGATCCAGGCAAAACGACACTTTTGTGATTAGAGATTGATATAGTGTGTTTTTGACTTTTGATATTGCCGTCGCGACTTAAGGGAATGTCCCTAGGAATCTTGTCAGGCCCAAAGAGGAGCCTCGCTGTCATGGTCAGGAATGCTAAGTATAAGGACTTGGCATGGAGTGGACGAATTCGTAGAGTGATTGTATGAAGGTGTGGATGCTTGTGTATGAGTGTCGAACGTTTGAATTTAGTAGTAGGACACAACCTCTTAAGGTTGAGGTTGGACTAGCTATAAGGGTTTGTTAAAGTAATTAGGTTGACCATGTATAAGTGTTGTATATTGACAGGGAACTGATTGTCGAAGAACGAGATGGCGGGCGATGAACTCAATCAGGCCGATGGCGCGGGCCAGCGGTCGGTTACGTTGGGTCAGCTGGTTGCTCTACTGGATGGGCGCGCGGTGACGCGATCCAACATCCCGAAGGTTCCGATCTTCCACTTCAAAGGAGATAAGGTATCAGAGTGGCTTGAGTTGCTCGAGCAAATTACTGACGAGATGACGGAAGAAGAAAAAATTCGTCAAATCTCTAAGTACGTCTGGTGGGAGATGCGGCCGGAAGTTATGCGGGTAGCAACTGAGGCCGCAGGAAATTGGGGGAACTTTAAGGCAGAAATGTAGAGGCGGTATCAGTTGGGAGACGGCCTGCTTACGACGGAGGACTTGGAAAGGCTAGAGAGGTCTGATTTCACGACGGTGGGTGCCTTCACGACGGCGTTTGAGAAGATGGCGAGGAAGGTTCTAGGGTTGGCCGAGGAGTCCCAATGTGCCATCTTCCTAAGCAACTTCACGGAATGTGAGAGTGTTTCCCTGACCAGAAGAGGGACCATAGGGAGGAAGTTGACTTGGGAGACAGTGAAGCAAAGCTTGGCAGATGGGGAGCTGGACCAGGTATACCAGTTTCAGATGAAACAACAACGGCAGAAGCGTAAGGCTCGAGTTGTCACTGAAGGAGCAGGTATCAACCTTCAACAGCTTATTGCGGATGGAATAGCCAAGTATCATGCCGACCAACAGAAAGCGGCTGGGAATCGGGTTTTGACAGTGACTCAGCCTCAGGCAAAAGCTGCGAAGAAGGTGGTTGAGCAGGTGGAAGATGATGATGACGATGAAGAGGAAGAACCGGTAAAGCTGACGAAAAGTCAGAGGAAGGCGCGGAACCAGGCCGCAGGTGGTCAAGGTTCCGGGAAGAATGCAGGAGTACAGGCCGCTGCGCCGGCCCAAGTAAACGCAAATCAGGCGAGCACAAGTGGGGCACCACCACAAGGACCAGCGCATCTTAGACCCTGGCCAGGGGCCATTCCTCCCGTTTAGCCGGGGTATAGTCCATATGGCCCATGACCGTTTTACAACCAAGTCGGGCCGCCTGCGGGAGGACCGACTGCGAATGCTGCAGGAGGGTACCCCAGTGTGCCAACTCAAGGAGTGAACTGGCAAGGGGGGGGCCAACAGCAGCAGCCGACACCTCCGCCACAAATCAACCAACCCAGTCAAGCAGCCGGTCAAGGACAAGGTCAGAACCAGGGAGGTAACGGGCAGAGCAGTCAGGGCCGAGGCAATGGAGGCCGCGGATGGGGTAACGGTAATGGTGGACAAGGCGGTCAAGGGGCGGACGTGGAGTCAATTGGAATGGGCAAGGCGCCATCATTGCGCACTAAAAGGGCATACCTTCAGGTTTTGCCAAATTCGGAAAGTAGATGAGGGAAATGGCCTTATCTCGACGAACATGGACGGAGATGTCTATGATATGCATGGGAAATATATTGACCCTAAGAGTGCAGGTGGTATGCGCAAGGAGGCGCTTCGTCGAGCCGAACTAGGTCCGCCACCACCGGCCATGTTCCGACTCTGGCAAGAGGAAGATGTCAGGTCAACGATAAAAGTGGAGGAACTGACCAATAGTGAGTCCGAAGAGGGCATCAGGAGGGAAGAGTCAGTCGTGATAGAAGAGGAGGAGGAAGAAGAATCGTATTGCCAAGGAAGGGTCATAGATACCATGGAGCGAATGGAAGACCTCGTGGAGAAGATGCAGAGGTTGAATTTGAAAATGAGGTCCATTTGCGACGAGGTGGCGAAGCCGATGGTTTACTTACTAGGCTCAGAGACAGGGCCATCGAGTGTCAAACCGGCTTGTCAGACCTTGGGGTCAATCCCGCGATCTGGCATTACATTCCGACCTCCTCGAGGGCAACCCACATTCCCGCAAGCAGTATGCACGAGGCGTAAGAAGGAAGATACCAGTAGCAATCAGGAACCTCCGAGCGAAAGTCAGCCACGAGAGAAGGAGCCTGTTATCGACGTAGGGGGCGAAGGCAAGGAGGATGAGGAAGATGAGCGGCTAAGGAAAGAAGAGGAGGAGCAAGCCGCCCAGCGCGCGAAGAAGAGAAACACGGAAGAGAGGCCAGAGAAAGCAGCAAAAGGAGAAAGCTCGCGGAAACAGAAGTACGCGATACCATTAGAAGATGGCCTAGACATTGAAGCCTTGGTCGATAGGCTTCTAGAGGGTCATAACGACCTGCTTAATTTGAAGGATATCCTCGCCTCAGCGCCTAAGCTTAGGGAAGGATTCAAAACGCGACTCTCTCGTCGAAGGGTGGCGAGCGTACGACTAGGAAATCTCATCGCTGCCGAGGCTCATTGGGCGGTTCCTGGGACGAAAATGGATTGGAAATCGGTCGGGACTGGGAGTGTGAACCTGAGTATAAAGGGTAAGCCGTGTAGCGGAATGCTGGATACAGGAGCGGAGATGAATATCATTAAGGAATCTGGCGCACTCCGCTTGGGGATGGACATCGATCGAATGGACTCAGGATTCCTCTATGGCGCAAGTGGGAAGACTCCTTTTACTGGGACGACATCGAATGTGGTGATTGAAATCGGGAAAGTGAAGGTGCGGTTCTGCTTCTTCGTTATGCCCAATTCAGACCATCCTCTCCTGCTGGGAAGGTCATTCCTTTGCCGCATTGAATCGATGATACTCAACAAGCATGACGACACAATGTACGTCATCTTAAGTGATCCTGTCTGCGGCAACTACGAGATCATCACCTGTCACAATACATGACCTCGTAGCTTGAGGAATAGGCCGAACCCAGGTTCCTATACCTTTGAGGAATCTGGAGAGGAGAGAAGGAGATTAATGGGTGAAGACGAAGAGGAATGTGAGCCTACTGGCGAGATGTGTTTAAGCCTAACCAGCATCAACGATGCTATGGAGATAGTGTCGTCATATGGGATGGCGGATCCCATTGCCGTAGAGGCTTTGAGAGAGAGAATAGTGGAAGATTCCGACGAGGGAGAAGTGAAACTCGTATATCGATTACCGGCAAGGACAAGTGAGCCAGGGGTACCTCAGAGTCGTGCTGCAAGCCAGCCTTTTTTATGGGTGGGCTTAAGCAGGGCTCCAAAAGGAGGTACAAACGCGTGACTGAGAAGAGTCATCTCGTTCCTGTCCTCATAACTGCGGAAGAAGAGTTCTACTATGAGCAGAAACGTGAATTGATACGGCAAATGAAGGAGGATGCAGAACATGGGTCGTGCCGTATCAATGAGAGGACCGAGGTAGACCTGATAATAGGAGAGTCAGGATTCCTCACTCCACAAGAGAAGGCCCTTATGGTAGAGGTAATGAAGGAGCGGCATCGCGCATATGCATTTGACGATGATGAGCGCGGGTGCCTTGATGTGGATAAAGTTCCGATGATTCTGATCTACACTGTGCCTCATGTACCATGGAATTTGCGAGGGTCACGCTATCCTAATCCGGCAGAGGAACGGAGAGTAGTCGACTACTTGGATGACAAGATTCATTCTCATGTAGCCGACTATGCAGTGGGCCTTACGCATCACCATGGTTTTGCTTTATCAAGCCGAACGGTACCCTAAGGTGGGTGCAGGACCTTCAGCGCCTGAATGCGGTAACGATACGAGATGTGGGCGGTTTGCCGAACGCAGATGCGCTGTCAGAATCTTGTGCTGGCAGGCCTATCATTTCCTTGATAGACCTATACTCGGGGTACGATCAGTTTCCGGTGTATCCACCTGATATACCTATGACTGCGATGCATACACCAAGAGGACTAATCCATATCAACGTGGCGCCACAAGGGTGGACGAATGCTGTGGCGATGGTGCAGAGGCATATGGTTCGCGTTATGCAAACGGTTAGTCCACATCTTACGCAACCATACATTGATGATTTGGCCGTGAAAGGGCGGAAGAAGAATGATGAGACGGAAGTTATGCCTGGGGTAAGGAAATTTGTCTGGGATCATATACAAGATATTGCTTGGATTCTTGACATTCTATGGGATTACAACCTTACCGCGAGCGGACTGAAGTCGAAACACTGTATGCGGGAGGCGACCATATTAGGCTTCGTATGTAACGAGAGCGGTCGCCGCCCTGATATCAAGAAAACTAACAAGATACTCGAATGGCCGGTGCAATTCGAATCTGTTAGTGAAATTCGTAGCTTCCTGGGGACATGTGGCTTTTGGCGAGTTTTCATCAAGAACTTCGCTGAGAAGACAGAGCAGTTGAGGAAGCTTGTCAAGAAGGATCAAGAATGAGAATGGGATGAGAAGCAGGAAGGAGTTGTAAGTAGTTTGAAAAGGGAGTTCAGAGAAGGTGGTCTGGTGTTGGGAGTTCCTGACTTTGAAGCAACGCCAAAATATCCTTTCATCGTAGAGACTGATGCAGGGCCTACAGCTCTGGGGGGCATTCTGATCCAAGCCGATGTAAATGGCGAGGAGAGGCCTTTGAGGTTCGAGAGTCGAACCTTGAATGGCACTGAGAGAAACTACTCACAGTTCAAGCGGGAGACACTTGCAGTTCTCCACTGTCTAAGGGTGTTCCGCAACTACCTTTTCGGAAGGAGGTTTGTACTGAGGGTGGATCCGACCGCATTGGCCGGCTCTTTGAAGAACTATGCACCATCAGACCCAACCATTGCCAGGTGACTCACGTATGTATGGATGTTTGACTTTGAGCTGGAACGCATACCTGGGAATAAGAATCGGGCTGACGGGCTTAGTCGGATCAATTGGGATAAGTCTGGCGAAGGAGCTAATGAGGATATACCTCCGGTAGATGCATTCCTCGATGAAGAGGAAGATGTGAAGCTCCACATCAATGCGCATGCCGTAGGGGTCAGTGGAGTCATTGTGCAAGGGCAGTCTGCTTTTCTTGCTCCTGCCGGGTACGTAAAGCGAGCAGATATAGTCCTCAAGGACTTCGTGGAGGAGGATCCTTGGGGAGGGAAGGAGGTTGAGTGGATGGCAAAGCTTGCATTGACTGAGACTTTCCAGTTAGAAGAAGATCCATTGGTCATTGAGAGTGGAGCCTACTCACTCGACACGCAAGCGAAGTATGTGGCGGATGTCAGTTTCCTTGTCAACTCAATTGTCCAAGTGCACGAAGATGGAGAAGGGAGTCGAGACCCTGTGAGAGATATGGAAGAGGACGAGTTCGAGGAAGGAAAGATAACGGAGGCTTTTCGCGCAGATGAGTACGAAGGCGTATACCGTGAATTAGGTTTGCTTCTCTCATGTGAGATGAGGTAGAGAGAGGCAACTAAGAAGGTACTCGAGATGCGACCTCGCTTTTTAGTCCGGGATGGACACCTTTCATCATAAACGAGGTTGGCAACCCGAGGAGGGTGATCTGCGGCCGAAATCGTCAGATAGACGTTATACTTCATAGTGTGTCAAAGCATACTTCAATTTCTTCAAGGTTGCTTCACACTCTTCGGTCCACTCCCAAGGGGTGTCCAGGCGTGTGAGGTCAGTCAACGGGGAGGCTATAGTGCTGTAACTCTTTACAAACGGTTTGTGGTAGCCTGTCATCCCCAAGAATGACCTCACCTTAGTCATAGACTGAGGTCTGGGTCAGTCACGTATGCTGGCCACCTTGGCATTATTCGGCCTCAAACCGTCCGCGAAAATTTCATGACCTAGATACAAGATCTTGGTTCGACCAAATTTGCATTTCTCCAAGTTAACCTTGTACTGGTGCTGTCTTAGGAGACCTAACACTATTTTCACGTGCTCAACGTGCTCCTCTATAGTATTACTAAAGATAAGAATATTGTCGAGGTACACGACGATAAACTTGTCTAAGTACTCATGAAAGATCCGGTTCATTGCGTGCTGGAATGTTCTAGGACCATTGCATAGACCAAAAGGCATCAGTACAAACTCGTACAGACCGTACCTGGTCTGAAATGAGGTTTTGTGTTGGTTCTCAGGTCTAATGGGAATTTGATGGTATCCGAACTTCAGATCTATCTTTGTGAAAAGTCGACATCCCTGCACTCTATCCAAGAGGTCGTTGATGTGGGGTAGGGGCTCCGCGTTTTTAATGGTAATGGCATTGAGGCCCCTATAGTCAATGCACATCCTTAAGGTACCCCCCTTCTTAGGAACAACTAAGACCGGTGCAACATAAGGGGAGGTACTAGGCGGAATCCATCCCTTCTCTGTGAGTTCTTTGAGCTGGCGGCGGAGCTCATCTAACTTCGCAAGAGACATCCTATAGATTCCTCCTCTAGGTACTTTGCTACCGGGGACGACTTCTATCGCATGGACAACCTCCCTTTCTACCACACCACTGGGCTCCTAAAAAAGGTCTGGGTATTGAGCAACGATTGCTTCTATCTCTAGGGGTGATTTTACAGCCTCCCCTTTCTCAGAGACAAAGACTAGGTACATGCCCTCCTCGTGATTCTGTTTATAATAGTTATAGAAAGAAGATGCACACATGCAGCCATAGTTCTCCACTGGTCTACTAGCTTTAAACTTCTACAGTCTAACGGTTCTTCCATTAGGCAACTTGTGAATCATCACCTTCCTATCCCAGTCGAATTGAGGTTGAGCAACCTTGAGGTAGTACATGCCTAGCAACATATCGAAAGGCAGCTCGTCGCTAACAAGGTACGAGATTTTATGTCTCAGCTCTCCTCCCCCATAGGAGAAAGTGCGGACTACATCCTTGACATAGTCTTTGACAACCATACGGTGCTTGTTGGCTAACGTGGATGCTACAGATTTGTTCAGCCACTGCACTTGGTTCCCTAAGCGCAACCTATCCACACAAGCACGACTGATGAAATTTTGTGTAGAGCCTATGTCTGCGAAGGCACCCACATTGCAGCCATGAAATGTTCACCCCTAGGACCTTTGTTGATCATCGCCCAAGAGACTCTGAGGTCCCTCCCTAACCACTCAGTTTATAACTCCTCTAAGGACCTAGACACATCTCTCGAACAGAGCATCTGTGGGTTTAAATGTGTCTGCGGGGTGATAACTAGGTCAATAGCCTTGGCCAACGCCTAAAGCGATGAAGGCAACATTACCACTTCAGCACGAGTAAGAGCGGCTAACACTCCTACTGGCCCGAGGTGTTTCCCTGTAAAGTGCTCTTAGAAGCCCCACCAGAGTTTGAAGATAGGCCTATCACCGTAGCGGAGGCTACCTTCGTTGTGATTTTCTTACCTCGGCCCATGCAGGTGTTCCTTGGTCGCCTTGACCCTTGGACCGACCTACCTTCTGCTTCCCGGTCCCCCTAGCCTTTTCTTTGATCGGTGCTACGACTCCCCCGTCCGAAGTCTCACTAGCCCCATCCTGCTCTATGTCTTCCCCATGGTCAGGGAAGTCGTCAATCTCAGTTCCCTGACCATCGTGGTCGACAAACATGAGATTGCCCTTCGTCCTCCAATCCTGGGGAAGCTTCTTCTTCCTACCATCTGCAAGTCCCTAATGAGTGGTCCCAAGTTTAGCCTCTATATCTAAGGCTTTCTTGTTGAAGTCAACGACGTTATGCACATTGATGGAGGCCTCGTCCACCAACTTATTCTTTACGTTTGTAGGCAGACATCTCAAATAAGTTGTGAGGAATACCTGAGGGTCATATCGCACTCCAGGCACCACGACCAAATGTTCTACGGCGTCTGTGACTTCACGCACTGTCCGGTACCGTTTGGAACTGAGACTGAACAGTGCATCAGTGGCCTTCTGAGCCCCTTGAGGGTCATGCCACCTATTGTACTCAGTCCATACAAAGTCTCCCAATGTCTGGATCTGGGCCCAGGCATCGAAATTCTGACCATAGCCCTGTTGTTGCACTAGACTATAACTTTCTGCTCTGGTCTTGTGAGCTTGTGCCTCGCATAGGTAGGCAAAGTCCTCACTCAGGTGTCCAGGTCCTCTTCCTTCTTCTTGTCACTAGAGAAGGGTTTAGGACTCGGCAAGGGAATCTTGGGCATCCACTGCATGGGTTGGATTGGCCCCGGTGATTGTTGCAGTGGCTGCATAGCTACTGAGACAGGTTGCTGCATGCTAACCTAGGCTTGTCCTGACGATGGAACTGTAGCTGTCACCGCCATTGATGGTACGGGAGAAGTGCTAAGAACCGGACCACTAACTGTTGCTAAACCACCTGAAAGAGGCATGCCAAACATAGGGGGAAAAGAGGGCCCTACCGGCGACGACGTCACTGAAGGACCCGCGACCGAAGGGGGAGCTACAAAATACGGAGGCTGCCTCATCATAGGACAAGGAGCCTATAAATCTGCCAGAATTCGCTTCTGGCCGGCCACTAGTTCAAGCAGCACCTCTTGTTGAACAACCTGCGTTTCCGCCACGCAAAGAAGTGAGCGACACAGCGACTGGATCGCAGGATCCAGTAATGACTCATCTAGTGCTTCTAGTCGTCCTAACTCCTGCCTCCGAGTTCCTAGTCTAGCTTTTCTTATTATCGCCCTTTCTCTTCTCTTTGCTGCTTCCCTCAACTACTGATGTAACTCATCGTGAAAAGCTTCTGCTTGGAGTATCTCATAATCTTATGGCGTGAGAGGAGACTGTTGGCTGACTTGCGTACCAACAGACTGACTAACGGTATCCTGAGAGACACTTTGACTAACACATGACGAAGAGGCCTGGGACAAGGCCTGTGACACAGTAGAGGCGGTGCCATTGCAGCCTCAACGCTGGCTGCTGCTGCCCTAGCCCTCCGCAATGTCGTCCTTTTTCTGGCTTCCCTCCGCAGCCTCCTTTACTCTCCTTGGCCTAACTCCAAGAAGGTAATCGGTCGACTGACCTCCTTTACTCTCCTTGGCCTAACTCCAAGAAGGTAATCGGTCGAGTGAGTGCAGTTTTCCGAGTCACTCTAAGATTCCTCACTAATCGTTCCTCCTCACCGCTTTCTTCTTCACTCATGAGCTACAGTGGTGTGTGATCTAAACTAGAATCCACACTGAATCCTACCTCAGCATGACACCCAACCGAGTAATAATAAACAATATATATTTTTTTATTTTTTTTTCCATCGAATCTGTCTTTTTTTTTCGGGGCCCAGTGCCCAAGGCAAAATACAAGATGTGAAGGAAAAGGTCTAGATTCAGGGGTCGCAAGGTCTCCAATCCTTCTCTGTGAGGTGGAGTCCCTCCCCTGTAGCCAAAAGCAGTAAGTCAACAGAAAACAAAAGGCCACAACAGATAACAAAAAGGCTACATGTAATCTAGGAAACTAATTCCAAGAAAGGTAGAACAGAAAACAAGTCAGCTACTTGTAGTCAAAGAAACTAAATCCAAAAGAAGCTAAGGCCATAACAGAAAAAAAAAGGCTACATGTAATCTGAGACAATAAGTCCTAGAAAGGTAGAACTGAAAAGCAAGACAGCTACTTATAATCAAAGAAGCTAACTGGAATCCCTGTGAGTTGATCTCATTGTAATGTTGTCCTTAGGAAAGGTCCAAACTGGAAGTCTCCAGTGCACGTGTCAATTGTGGCCAAAGAAGGTGAAGCCGCCCAGTGTTTCTGAAACCATAACACTCCAGCTCGCAGGCTCGTTGGCTTTCCAAGCCGCTGTTTCCAATCCAAATAAATGATGTGGCGCAAGTCTTTTTTCAGTCAGACTGGAGAAAAGTAGTCAAGTGGTCACCAGCAGCCAATGCCAGATCCTAATGGTAATTATATTTCTATTTTTACATTATTCTAAAACAGATTGCAATGCAGCTATTGTCTATCCTATCTGCAGTTGTCTGTTAGTTGTCAACAAGTCCGTACAAAAACAAAAATAAATCAGCAGTGGAGATGCATAGTGGACGATAATTTGTCTAATAAGTCCAGCTGCGAACAGTTGTCGGAATCTTCCCTCCCCTTGTATCCCTCTTGAGTAGTCTCTTATGTCGACGCCCTGAGCATTTGGTTGAGCAGCGTGTCTGGATGTGTGGCCCACCCTTGAGCCCCAAGTCTATACTAAGCCTGCCAGCCCTGCACCTTATTTATCCTCGCATGCAACGAGCCTTACTTCCGGATCTGGTTAATCAAGAGGCAGTTTAAGGACAACGCCCAAGGTCCTCAAGAATTATTTAACAGACAGGACGACGATCACAGCCAGGGTTCAACTGGAACCCGCCAGAAATATTTATAGACGGTCTGGTGAGCGTCTCTTATAGGGCTGGGATGCCCAACATGACCTCTATTGCGCAGCAAGCGGAACCAAGGACTTGCGGCAAAGCATGCATGTACTGGTCCCAGTGGGTTGGCATGGTGACCATGACCCGAGTGCTTCATCCAGGGCCCTTCAGAGGCTTCGCCTGTCTCCCACCAGCTTGCTGCCCAGGAAGAATGGTGACTCTCAAGGTTGAGCGCTGGCGACACGTCACATCGAGAGGACTCTCAGGACATAACTCACTTCCTCACGGTAAGAAGTAATGAAGAGGGTAGATAAGGAAGAGAGCAACGTACCTCAAATGCTGCTCCCAACCACAAATTTCTCACCGGCAACCTAATGTGCATTTACGATGACCGGTCCTTGCCTTGGCACAACAAACAGCGAAATGCAGTTCCACCTCGGCTGAAATGCCCGCAAGCTCTCATCATCCAGCGTACATCCCAATGTCACCTTATAGCCTTCCTGGCACGCCAACACGACCCTGGGCCGCCGCGCGTCCAACGCCTAAGCGTTATCACTTCCCCGCACCGCATGCGAAGCACCGAACAGCTATTGCAAAGAACCAGCAAGCGTAGTCCGAACCAGCTCCGATACCAAATTGCAAGGAAAATGAGCAATAGCGAGATGACAGAATCCAGATTGCACAATCACATTGAAATCCAGAAAGTCTCGCAGTGCCCAGTAAGCAGCATTGCTCCAATGTTAAACCAATGGAGAATCGAAACACTGAAACCGAATGTCAATGAGAGCTTACTCTCGTCATCACCAACATAAGAGTTCAGGCCCTTCCCCCTACTTGGCACTCGGCGCTCAGACTACTCCCCACACAGCTACTATCTGCCTACGAATTGACAATGCAACTGTTGACGTCAGCAGCCACCGAAGTACATGAAGATGTCGCCCAATGCAGACCATCGCCAATACCAGGTATGAGCCCCCACATCATCATCCTCATCTTTTCTCTCTCTCTCTCCCTTGTCTTTCTCCCTTGTCTTCCCTCTTTACACTTGAAGACCAACACAGCGCCTTGCTGTTCATCCAATCCCAGCCAGCTATGGAAGCTGGGCTATGGCGCTGCCCACAGCAGCGCCCTTCTTCCTACACGACCGCACGTGCGCAACACCTTGGCCCAGCCCCCGCGCGTCTGCTCCAGCAGCGCTGCCGCAAACTGGCAAGCGCCCGAATGTCTCCCCAGGCAGCGAGCACTTTCCTATATGGAAAGAGCTCGGTCTGGTCTGCGGCCTTTCTGGGATGGGCCTGCGCCCGGAAGCTTTGGGTAGGCCCCAGGAGGCTGGCCTGCTGCTGCTGCTGTTGCGGTCCTGGGCCCCGTTCGGTTACGTGCCCCAACTGCCCGACGTGTATACACTGCTGCAGATGTGGCCGAGTAAAGTTCTGCTGCTCATGGCCTGGGTTTTCCCTCAACCAACTGACGCGACGAAACTGTCTGACCCCCAAATGCAAAATTGACAACAATGGGCCCCTCATGATTTTCTCAGGCCTGCCTTCACTTAAGGTGGCCGCACTTGCAAAATTGGGGCCCTTAGGCCTGCCGAGGAGCCAATTCCTCGCACTGGGTTATTTGGAGTTAAAAAAAATAAAATAAAAATGCT